TGAGAACCCTGTCTGAGCCGTACCGAAATCTCACTCCTTCCCACTCGCTCTCATTCAATCCGATGCGTCGAATGGTTGCAAATTCGGGAAACATCCTTATCACTGACTCAAGCATCACTCCCATCATCAAATCATCTGATATAATGCACCCTAAAGACCACCCGAGGCGTGAGATATGCTGTTGCACGGAGAGCATCGTGTAAGACTTGCGTCGACACAGTGGGCTGAAGGGAATAATTCTCTCATATGCCATTTAACTTTCCAGGCAAGTATGTTTGCCCTGCCCATATGCTTTAAATATCCTTTTGACGCCCCAAAAATTGTGTCCACATAGTACACGTAATAATCTTTTCCAGATAAGTGGTATATAGAATGAGAAACAAAACACGCCCCGCGCCACGCCATTCCAAATTACAAGTGAGGCCTGGACTTGACTCTCATTAGGTTTGATGGAAAACCAAAAAAATCAGCTCATGATGGCGGCATGGCACTCGGTCCCGATATTGGGCGTCTCCAAGTTCCCCTTGGTCTGGTTCCCCGGCTTGAGGTAGCAGTTGCCCGGCGCCTTGCCCTCGACGGCACCCGCCCTCGTCGTCCACAGCGGGATGAAGCTGACACCCGTGCACGACGCGTTGCCCTCGAACCCGGGCTCGTAGTTTGTGAAGGATGCGCAGGCGTCCATGCAGTTGTCAAAGTTTGCCGTGAAGAGCGACATCAACGGCGAGTTGGGTGCGTTTTTGTTGCCTTGAGGTGGCATGTCAGTAATGCGCAAAAAGTGAGATGGGATCTCTCAGGTGCACTACTTACAGTACATGGTGAACGTCTTCTTGCCGAAAAAGTCAGTCGTGTACGTCTGGCCAGTCGTCGTCTCGCTCGAGTCGGTGCAGCCGTTGGTGAGGGCGTTGAACCCCGTAGCCGTCGCTGAGGCGCTCGTCACCGTCACCGTCGTCGTCGCCGTCGTCCCGCCGCTCGTCGCTGACGCCGACATGGCCGCCAGCTCCTGGATCGCGTTGTTGGCCCGGCTCGCCTCGACGCCGGTGCCGGCCGCAAGACCGATGACGGCGGCCGCCAAGACGGCGATGATGACGGAGAGGAGGAAGACGAGGAACGTGCAGCCGCAGACGGTCTTTCTGGACTTTTGAGGGGCAGTCTCCCCGGCGGCGTGGTTCTGGTACTGGTTGCCGCCGTAGACGGACTGGTCGACGCCGGAGGCCGGGTACCCGTACGTCGAGCCCTCCTGCTTCATCGGCGTCACGGGTTCTGGCTGTGGCGAGGCCGAGTACGACTGCTGGGGTGGCGGGTGGTAGACCTCGGGGTACTGATGCTGAGGTGCCAGCTCCGGGCCTTCATCGTACTGGTGCTGTGTTGTAGCCATGATCAGTTTTTCGGTGGATCGAATAAGATCTTTGGTGAAGCTGTGAAGAAACCAAAAGAGATGGGGAAAAACCGAGAGAAAGGAGAGCCAAGAGGAAGGGGAAAGCAAGCAAGCGGGGAACTTACCCTGGGAGCCATTTTTAAGTACTTGACTGTACTCATAAGAGGCAGAGAGAGAGGGACAGACAGACAGGCACCAGAAAAGAGCCGGAAGGATTGGACAAGGTGCGGGACGGGAGAAGCATGAGCTGGGATCGAGAAGGAGGAGGAGCAGGAGGTAGATCAACGAAGGAGCTGGAGTGGCCACGGGTGGAAAGACATGTTAGTCTAGCGTTGCAGTAAAATCTGACCCCGGGCAATGGCCCCCCATGTTACCCATCCTTTGGGCTGATGGTTGAACTCTCTTCAACGTCTGGGCGAAGAGTTACCACGGAGTGATGAGCGTGATGGTGAGAGTGAGAGTGAGCATGGCATGGCATGGCTACCTAGCCTGCTACACTAGTAGAGGGGGGCCAGCACGGGTCGCCGGATCCAATCCTTGAATCGACCACACTCTCGCGTATGTAAGAAGATAGATATTGCAGGGGTCCCGAAGAACGGGGTCGGGACCACCACCGCTGCGGGCACCGGTGGATGGCTGACGGGCCAAGGACAGGAAGAAGAACGTGAGGAAGAAGAAACTTCAGACGGGACCAACCACCATTGGTGATGGAGCTGATGGGCTGAGGCTTTGCAGGGTTCCAGTTGCCTACGTGGGCGCTAAGTTCTCTCCTTTCAAATCTGCCGTGGTTCGTAGGATTTTAAGAAACGAAGCTTGTACTCCGTAGCGTACGCAGTAACATGTAAATCAGCTCCCAGTTGGCGCTTCCTTCGCACGGGTTAGCCGCGAGGAGCACACCAAGAGTCGCACAAGGCCCAGCCACGAAAGCTTGACAGGAGCGTTTGTGCGCCGTTGCCCCTTGGGAGACATGGTGTTGGAGAGTTGGGCGCAGCAATTTAGCAAAGACACATGTTTGTGATTTCTGGCCACAATGTATCCCGGCACCGGATACGTCTTCTGCGGGAGAGACAAGCGTTAATGATACCATGCAGGCGAGCGGATCGCCCCAGGCAGCCCTTATGCGCTTCTTTTAGTCGGGTACGAGATGGGCGGAAGATATCTATCACGCCCTCTGCCTCTCTCTCTTAAGGAGGGAAAAACTTGCCTCAAAAGGACCATGGCCTCATGGATTGGCATCAATGATTTCCCAGAACAATTGGATCCGCGGAAAGGAACCAATGGGGTAGTATAGTCAAAGTTGACAAAGCAGAGAGATTGCCAACTCAGTAATGAGCATCACGACAATGTGCTCTCTGGGTTGCTAGTGCTTACCAGCTGTGGGACACAGTTTGACAAGGGCCAACCATGGATGCTACATTGCTACCACATTCGACTTACCCAATAACAGGGTTTGTGGGAACGGCGGGCCTGCGGGCTGAATTTGTGAGGTTACAATTGATTGCCTATTGCAACGCTGAGCGTATCCATGATTCCGCACAATCTCAATTGTCGATGGCCGCCAGATCTGAGGTTTTCCTCGTCAATGGGAAAACCGAATTGCTTTTTCAAGATGGGCATCCGTATAAAGTAAGGCAAGGTGAACGCCAGCAAAGGGTCCGGGATTAGAAGGTTGAATGAAAGGGACCAGCTAGCAGACATAGTCAACCGCGCCGTTGCGGCGCCTTATTGCGCCTGGGATCGTTTTTAGCAAGAGGGCCGAAGCGGCAAGCCCTTCCCGTGGATGGAAAGGTGGCACGCCGCACGCCGCACCACCATCTCTATTCTCTCCTGGGCTGGACCGCTGGGCTGCCTCGTCCGCCCGTTTGCTCAGGAGCTCGCGCTTCTTGAGGGCATGGGCGCTCCCGTTGCCAGGCTGGTTGGTGTGTGTGGTTACTGGTGTGTGCGTGGCCACGTTCGTTATGGAGACAGAGGGGAAGAGGAGATGAAAGGCTATCTTCATCTCTATCTCTGGGCGAAAGGGTGGAACAGTGTACTCCGTAGTTGTGGGGTTATCAACTTATCACCCACAGGCTTTCTTCCGGATGTTGAAGAACTCCGAAATCAAAAGATGGAGGTTTCTGCTCAGCGCCTGCGGCAAGATGCAGAAATTTTGAAAGGGGAAGTAGATCAACACACGATACCCTGTAGTCGCCGACGTGGACTGGGGTGGTATGGTCCATCAACGCCCGCAGGCAGTGCTTACTACGTAGAAGTTCGAGTCTTGGAGATGTATAGATCGATCTTTTATCGACTCTTTTCGTTGACAGACGTTGAGTTGTTGAGACGTTGCTGATGAACCAGCAAGCATCCATATCCTCTCCAAGACCCAACTCTGAGCGGTTTGTGAGGAAGAGAAATACGACGCATGGACAACCAAATAATCCAAGAGCGGGAAAAGGCTTCTCTTCTGGGATGGCCCTGAGAGATTGGCCTGAGCTCATCCCACCCCCTGGCCGAGTCTGCGCCTCTAGCAGGATAACCCCCGGCGGTCCGACTAAGCTTCTTTCAGCCGTACGAAGCAGCCGTCCAATCGCCCCTCGGAGGAGCTGCTGGGGTTCTTAACCGCCAGGCAGACCACAATTTCGCCAACAGAACCAGAGGAGAATCACTAATCATGAGTATTTTCAACATCCGCATCGGATCGGGGGAGAAGGATCATCTTCGCCGAGAGGGAGTCTCGTCAATCTTGTTTAGTCGTTGCGAAAGAGCTTTGCTCATCGACGCTCGGCCCATGGCCCAACCCAGCCGAGAGGAACTTGCTTCCAGAGATATGATAAAAGGGTGACCTCACCTCATTTTAACGTCAGCAAGACCATGTGACGAGCCGTCCTCATTTCTCGTAATCCTGCGGCACAGCAGCAACAGCAGAGGCTATGCCACCACGGTTCGAGAGCCATTGTTCCCATTGTGGTTGGTATCTGCCGTGACCAGCTTGTTCTTTTTTGAAGGTCCAGACGGGCTCATCTTGGAAATTCCCTGAACGTCCCAGGCGAGCTTGAGCGGCACAAGCAGCCATAGATATCGCGGTAACACCTTTATCCCCTCACAACTAAGTAAGTACTTAGAATATCACTTGGTGATGACCATTTTCTCCCAGGGTCATCGAGATTATAACTGTCTGCGTCCGACATTGCAAGTCGCAAGCTGGGTCGATACGGATGCTCCTGCCAGCGTATTTTGAAGCTGGTATCGTGAGATCAGCTAGAATGATCTCAACATCAATTCGCACTCCTAGGGTTTGTTCCTTCATCGCCGGACCCATGAGCATATCTCAATTAAGCTCTTGGTCCTGCACCTCTACATTGGGCCCCTGTCAGGCACAGTCTTCCCAATGGCTGGAAGAATATCCTCCTCCGCACAGAAGTCCCTTTCGCTTCGCGACCCCCGTTGGTTTAAGGCAGACTTCACTGAAGTCACAACCAACTCTTTTGCCAAGCTTCATCGAAAAGTCATTTAAAAGGGGGCCGCTTCGTCGCTCTGAGCTTGAGTTACTATGTGAAAGACAACACCTGCAACTTACAAGTACCTCCGCCCGGCTCCCGGAAACATCATTAAACTTCACGCCCTGAGCAATCCTTCTGTTACGATGAAGACGTTGTCGCTCCTTCCCGCCGTCTCGGCGATATTGGCTCTCGTCGACGCGCAAACGACCGCGACATCGACCTCCAGCGTGCAGGCTCCTCGAGTTACATCATCCGCTAGAGCTTTCTTTATCTATGATACCCATCCGACCGGGAGTCTCGAAGCATCTGTCGTTGCGTACGAGCGCGAGACGGCAACATACCAAGTTGTGTGCCCAACGGCCGATGCAGCCTGCCAAAAGGAGGGTTACTGGCCGGCCAACGTCACCCACATTGAGGGCTCTAGCTGGGTCGGAAGCAATACGGCCACGTCCGGCATCGTGAAATATTGGGACTGCCGGCTCGGCACTGGCGGCCGTCCCGTGATTTCAGATCAGTATGGACGGTGCCACGTATCAACGTCAACCCCCTCGGTCAGGACCGGGACTGTGGATGAGGAGCTCGCCGTCAACACATGCTTCGTGGAGGCGCGCTCTGTCGTTGTGGCCATTACTGCAGGATTGGAGAAGGTCGAGGCAGTCCACCGGATACTCACGGAATCCGAGTACGTTGGGGCTTGGGAAGCTTCGTCTCTAATGTCTCTGATGAGTTCTCGAAGTGCGACCGGAACGTGTTCGCCCTTCACAAGCCCTGCGCCTTACACCGGTTCTCTTGTCACGGGGAGCTCAAGTTCGTCGTTACCTGCGGAGACAGGTGCCGCAACTGGTACGGGAACGGGTGCGGGAACGGGCTCGACGACAGGTGCGGCAAGTGGCACGGCAACAGGCACGGCGGCGACTGGTGCGGCATCGGGTGCGGCGACTAGTGTAGCTTCGAGTATGTTGATGTTGCTTGGAGCGGCGTTTGTGGGGTGTGGTACTCTTTGGTGATCGGCACATCAAGTGATGGGATGAAAGCTACGATGGAGTAAAGTAGCATCCATGTAGCAGATCAAGACATGGCACCTTGGTGTTCAGTCATCATTGCCGCTAATAATATGGTATACCGCCGCGTGCCAAAGGCCAATCTACCCCACGATCCTGTGACAACATCCGAGAAAGGTCGAGACTGTGCGCGCGATGCCGCAGTCGCATGTGAGCTTCGGGCCGGGAGGGATGAAATGTCAGCCGGGCTTCTTGACAGCTTTCTGTCGTCGGAAACGCGCCGCGCGAGACAGACAAGACAGTGGCATGACAAGGCAAGGCTGCGTTTGTTACCCCGCCTGTTCGAACTTTGGATACGAATGCTTCGGGACGTCCTCCTCTGGACTGTTGCCGGGCGCAGGGATTAAGCTTTCTAGTTCCCTCTGGCCAGTTTCAAGACGGCTTGAAACCCGGTGCCGTCAGTAAAGTTGTGCTGAACACGTATGCCTCCATCGCGAATCTCAAATCATGTTGCGGCTGTTGATTGGCCGCCGGTAGTTTGGGTTCGAATGCGAGTGCTTCTTGCAGCTTGTCTGTGGGCAAAGGTTGAAAGTTGGTGTCAAAAGTTATCAAGTAATTATCCTGTCTGTTTTGAGATGGATAGCAAAGCTAAGATTGATGGCTTTGTCGATGCTGGTTATAGAGTCTCGGTTTCGTAAACGACGTATAGGAGTTGTCGTCTCAACAACTTGAGTTGGATGCCAAGGAAGGAACACAACTAATAGGACTAATAGTGCGCCCTACCTGTAGATAATCCAACTCAAACCTCGGTTGCAACTGACAAAAGCAATCAAGGTTCAGCTCGGAATTGAGGCAAGCCGCAAGTCGCAAGAACGGAACGCAGAGTGAGGTAGCATGCCGAGTGGGCCTTAATTGCTTACCTAAAGCCAGCAATTGCCTGCGACTGGAGGGGGGATTCAGGGTCGGGAAACAGCTCCGGGGGTGCTAGTTTCATGCATGTCATAGCTTTCCGTAGGTATTGCTGTGAAGATCTTCCATTGTCTGTCTCTATCCGTACGGAGAATATATAAGGCAAGGTACCGGGTCTCGAGGATGGGTTGCTGGCATATACTTTGGTTTACTATCGATCGAGTTGAGATGGATTCGAACCGAGGCGGATGGTCACGAAAATAGTGACATCTGATGCACTCGAAAGCGAGGCACTAGCAGTCTGCAGTGTCCAGAAGAAGGCCTGTTCCCGTGTTCCATGGACCATGGCACTCAAGGCCGTGGCTAAGCCCCCATGATCTCCATCGGAGCACAGACAGCCCCAGAATCTTGAGCCTCCAGTGAGGGAACGGAGGCAAGGAAGGATCTTCGAAGAATCAGACACTTTGCTGTGTAAGGTGCATGGGAAAAGCCACACACAACAGCCAACCTGCGATCCCAGAACGTACATACTTACGTACCTACCTACCTAGTAATAAGGTAGGTACGGATAGTGGAAGAGCTCTCTCTCTCTCTCCCGGCCACACGTCCCGGATGGTGGCGCCTGCCAGATCCTGGGTGGCCATTTCTTATTGGCATATTTTCTTTCCCGTCCCTTCCCTCCAGCAGCGCAGCTCCCCAGTCCAGTCACCTTCAGCTTCCCTTTCTCACTTCTCGACATTCCTCTGCCTCACGCCTTGCTGTCTCTTCGCCTGGCCTGATCTTGCTCTTCTTTTCTTGCTTTTCCCGCCCCGATTTGCACTTTATCCATTGACTTGTGGCCACTCACACTTCGCCTTTCCATTTTCACCTTCCAACAGGCTACGCCGCTTTCGACCTCCCCAGTCTTTGTTTGCCCCCCCAAGGAGCAATATTTCGTTGGGCGTCAGGTGCGCCGCAGCCCAGCGTGCGATGCGACAAGCTATGTTTCCTCGACTACAGCTCGAATAATGCATTGCGTACCGTTCAACTCACCGTCGAACCGGCAATTCACAACACCTGACCCCTATCTGTCTTTCTGCCAGCTTCTCCCATCTCCAACTTTGGCTCAACCCCGTCTCGGGTCTTGTACTCCCTGACGCGCCTCTCCTCTCGATAGGACGTACGACACCCATCACCCGCTACGCCTCTTCCACCTCTCTGGCGGGTTTGGGCTGTCTAATTCGTCCAACCTGCTCACCTCAGCCAACAACACATCTCTCGCCCTCGACGCCGCTGAATGACGACAAACCCGGGCAAGCGACGACACTCGATCTCGACTTTGGCAAATAGAAGCTCTCATCCGACCCCTAGCTCGGAGCTCTCCACCGATCTGCGCTCGTTATCGTTCCCGTCTCCCCCTGAGCTACCTGCTTAGGCCCCGCCACATACCGCTTCGTCCTATCTTCCACAACCCCTCCCCGCCCATCCCAAGCTTTATCGCGACTACCCACAATGCCTACCTACCTCTGCCACGGATTTCGTTGGGACCGTCGAAGCATCCGCGTCTTTGTCGTCGTCCAGAACATCGACGATGCTGCCCCCGAATGGATCATTGCGCCAAACTCGTCTCCTGCCATCCTCGAGTCATTCTACTCTCTCTTCGACTTCCTTCCCGAGCCCATACCCGACGAAACCGAGGCCCAACGTGACAAGAAGAAGCGCAACAAGTCCAAAGCATCCAAAGCCGCCGCACTGCGCAACGAATACGATGTCCCAGCCTCGACCGTGCCGCCAGAGGAGGATGACGTCCTGCAGAACGACTGGAGTGCTGTCAAGCTGCTCGAGGAGTATGACCCGACTGATCTAAGCTATGTCAGCCGTCCCTACGCATATGTTGCCGACCACGTAGTACGCATTGATCTGAGCAACTCAATAACGGAGGAGATCATGCGGTACGAAGAACGACTGAGCGAGACCAAGGCGATGGCAAGCGCCCCTAGCGATGAATTCTACAAGGCGAAGAAGAGTTCGTCAGGGAAGAAGGCTGGCTGGTTCGAAAAGCTGAGAGATCAGCTTCAACGAGGAGAGGATATTCGCTGGTACATTGTGGTATGCGGCGACGAGGTGCGCGATTTCCCTGAAGACATGGGTGCGACAAGGGCAGAAGAGGAGGAGTTGGATAGGGAGGCTGAAAACGCGACACCCCGGCCCCGCGACCGCAGTGCAGGTCCTTCAACATCGAGAGGAGGGGCATCACCCCGTGAGTACGTGTCGAGCGTACCAGCGAGTCAGTTCGCAGCAGCCATGTCGCCGCAACAGCTCTCACCAAAGGAGGCGGGTCTGCCCTACGGCACACTTCCCCAGCATCCCAACATGGTTGGCAATTGGACGGAAAAGGAGACGCCAACACTACAAAGCAAACCTTCAATGGACTTTAGGCCAAAGACACCCAAGGGCGGCGGCTTCAGAAGATTATTCGGAAAGAAGGGCGATGATCCATAGAGAGGCGGCCTCGGAAGACTGTTCGGGAAGAAGGGCCATGATCTATGACATTTATTAGAAGCTCAATGGTGAGCGTTCTTGAGGCAGCTCTCCACGACCTGAGCCTGTATTTGTACCACTGTACCGTGTGCTGTCTTAGGTACGACACGCCACGGCATCCTCCGTTTTAAGCGAACCATCCGCACGCCTACGCCGCATTTTAGTAGACACGGTTTCAAAGCGAAGGCGTTTACTTGTATAATTGACTACTTCATTGAAAACAGACAAGGAGAGGAAGAAGAGAGAGAAAGGGAGATTGTTAAAGTCTTCATCTTTTATCCCTGTTTGCTCCAATATCTTGCCGCACATCGTCCCGACACCCGCAACCCGCAATCCGCTAAACCCAGCCGCAATGACACCTTGGAGGATCCGCAGCTTTCCCTTTCACTAACAGCTGGAGTAGAGCAGGGGTTAGCTTGCCAAGGTACGTCACTGGTCGTGGGACCTCTCTCGATCATCCTTCCACCGTTCCACGTATTTCAGTAGCAACGCGCCCAGCTCGCTCTTTCAAGACATCAATCTTAACCTAGCTCCATCAGCAACACCCACCTTCAATGCGGCGGAACGAAGATCTGCATTCATCGCGGACTACGGCCTGCAAGCCAAACATCTGCACAGCATCCAATTCCATGACTTAAATTGCTCCTGCCTGCAGAACAGTCCTCAGGTGACCGTGTGTCCTCGACTCTGACGGGACGCATGACGTTCCCCTCCCTGTGGTAATGGCCGAATCCTCGAGGCTTCAGACACCTAGCCGTTCAATTCGCTCTGGCGAAGCGTCACCGTCATTTGCGCAGACCACGGCCGAGTTCAGTCTCGACAGCGACCTCGATTTCGAACCTGACGACGACGATGATGATGTCGAGGACTTGCATTTGCATGAGGCACAGCTTGGCGGTGGCCAGGCCTACGAGCTGAAGAGCCTAAGTGCATCACCTGCGAAGGATACTGACGACGGATGGGGTGATGAAGTGCCGTCGCTGTGGAGAAGAGCTAGCACCAGCACCGTCGCGAGCTTCCAGCTTTACACCCCTGACGAGGAGAGGTCCGTTGTTCGCAAGCACGACCGAAAGCTGGTAGTTTTTGTAGCACTGCTATTTATGCTCAGTTTCTTGGATCGATCTAGTATGGCATACCTTGAGCCGCGGCCATGTGATCTTGCAACCTACTGACAGCCCCTCCTCTCCAGATATTGGCAATGCGCGCATAGCTGGTATGGACGAGGATCTGCAGACGAATCCCCCGTGGGACGGTTGGTATGAGTGGACATTGACGGCCTTCTATATCTCGTACATCTTCTTTGAGTGGATGTCGCTGTTATGGAAGCTCATCCCTGCCCACATATACGTCTCCATGATTGTCCTCTCATGGGGACTGACTGCCTCGCTGCAGTCCGTCTCCGTCTCGTACCCTACGCTCATTTTCCTTCGGGTTTTGCTGGGTATCGGAGAGGCCGGCTTCACAGGTATACCGTTCTACCTATCCTTCTTCTTCAAACGAGAGGAACTAGCATTTCGTACCGCTATATTCATCTCTGGTCAGTATCTTGTCACTCCAGACGACCGTTCCAACCGACTGATTATGGGCAGCCGCGCCGTTGGCAACAACATTCGCATCGTCCTTGGCTTGGCTCATCACCAACTATGCAGAGGCTGGACCCATAGCCCCTTGGCGTCTCTTGTTCCTCGTCGAGGGCTTCCCATCCGTTCTCGCCGCCGTAGCCGCGTGGCACATCATTCCCGATAGCCCGGATACGGCGCGTTATCTCACTGCGCGGGAGCAAAAGGTGGCTCGCCTTCGACTTCGACGCGAGAAGCCGCGCCAGAAGAAACATGGGGGAAAGGGCCATAGCAATCTAAACCTTGGTGAAGTGTTTGCTGTCTTGTGCGATCCCATGGCGTTGCTGACCGCGGCCATGTTCTTTCTTACCAACATGGCGTACTCCTCCCTACCCGTATTCCTACCCAAGATCCTAACCGAGATGGGCCACTCTCGCCTCGCATCGCAAGGCCTTAGTGCTCCTCCATACTTCCTGGCCTTTCTTGCCGTACTTTTCACGGAGCATCTATCGGATCGGGCGCAAACCCGGTCCATTCCCATCATACTGCATGCCCTCGCATCGGCCGGCGGATACGCCGCGCTCGCCCTAGCAAAGCCCATCGGTCTCTCGCCATTGCTGCGGTATCTCGCAGTGTACCCAGCGGCCATTGGCTTCTTCAACGTCGTAACGCTCACCGTGGCATGGAGCATCAATAACCAAGCGTCCGAGAGTAGGCAGGGCGGGGGGTTCGCCCTGATGCAGATTATTGGGCAATGCGGACCGCTTGTGGGGACGAGGTTATACCCGGATCGAGACGCACCTTTCTATGCGCCTGGGATGCAGACCTGCGCGGGTGCGATGCTCGCCGTGGCTGTCTTGGCGCTGTCTCTGAGGTTCTACCTCTCCTACTTGAACCGCAAGACAGACGTCGCTTGCGCCGTCGGTAGCGAAGCCGAAGAAGAGGAGGGCTTGGTGGGATCTGGGGGCCGTAAGAGGACGGCCAGCGAGGAGTTTCGATACATGCTGTAAAGACGAGAGGACAATATTGTAGTAAAGTGTCTATATCCACAAGCCATGCGTGTCAGTGGATAGTTGTGAATGTAAGCAGGTAAGCACCTTAGTTGCAGATCAAGGCATGGGATGAACCTGTCACCGCCGAACCTCCAGAAGAAACCTACAAAATTCCTTGATTGAACTCTTGTGGTGAGAACCGCCAATAGAGAACTGTCGAGTCTATTGTTGCTCGTCCCATGTTTCTTGTAGTTCAAGGTAGCAGCCACCCTGACAGCCAATAAGGCGACCCGCAACTAGGTACCTTACCTTACGTGGATGTGGTGACATGCCGCGTGCCAACGCACGGGCCCGATCTGATAAAAAAAGACCTCGGCTCTTTTCCAACTCAATTGAAGCTCGCAACCTGGAACTCAAAGAACACCCACAGCTCATCACCAACCGGGTCTCCATCAAAATCATTGGACTCCGAAGTCGCTCATTTCAATAGTACATGTCGTCAAGATTGGGTCGCTTGCCTACGCGTAACATTCGACAATATCGAAAGATTTTGAAAAGGCATCGAACTTTAAGCTCGTAAGGATAGGGGACAGCAGACCGCAACAATGAAGTCGGCAAACCCAGACGTCCAGCATTTCCTGTCCATCCCCTGGTGCGCGGCGCACCTCAACGAACCAGACACGGTCCGCGACACAGCGCCCTCGCGGTTCCCCAAACAAAACACTGAGGACCAGCTTTTTTCAACGACCCTCAACACGACGGATACGATTGCCGCGTACCTGACCTTTTACAAGCGGCCGTCGTCGTCGTCGTCAGCATCCTCAAGTACCTTGACCTCAGACAGACCAAAGGACGACGACGCCGGCCCCACCATCATCCGCCAGCTCAAAGCCCTCCTCACGCTCCGCAGCGGGATAAACGGGTACCCGGACGTCTCGCACGGCGGCATCGTCGCCACGATTCTGGATGAGACGATTGGGCTCGTGTTTCCTGTCAACAAGAGCAACGGGTTGATTCCCGACGCGGCGTACATGACGGCGTATTTGAACGTTACGTATGTGAAGCCCGTGAGGACGCCGCAGACGGTGCTGTGTGTTGTTGAGGTGACGAAAGTTGTCGGAAGGAAGTGGTGGATTGATGCGAGGATCGAGGATGAGGGGGGCGCGGTGCTGGCGAGGGCGGAGAGTTTGTATGTGAGGTTGGTTGAGAAGCTTTGAGAGTGGGCATAGAGGTGAGAGCGTAGATGTCTGAAGTTTGCTATGGGAGGGTTTGATTGGGTTTCGGCTCAATTGTTGTGATTAGGATGGAAGGCGGCGTACATGCTATCTTGATAGAGATGTGCAGCGATTACACATACCACGAGTGCATAGAATCTTTGCTCCGAACGAGTAGCAGAGCTTGCTAGATTAGAAGTTCAAAAAAACTCTTCACACGATTGAATACTTATTTGTTTTGTGGAAAAGAGGCAGGCTACGTACTTTGACAGACAAGGAGGGAGAATCACGTCAAGGGGTTGTCCGATTTTGGCTACTTACCCGAAGTACAATATTGCCAGGTGAAGGGTCAGATTCGTATATTGACATGAGTGGTTCCAAGCACTTGTATTCTGCTCTAGCCGTCAATCGGTATGTGGATGGAGTTTCAATGAGTGTGATTGATCCGACTCTGCTATGGAACCATATCGATGCGTGCTACTGCGAGGTGAAAGTCCAAGGCTCACGAATATGTGGCTAAGTCTAGTAGTATTCATGGGGATGGAATACTGTCGTAGAGGCCGCAGGTTAGCGTCTGTATCGAGGGATTGCGAGGTATCCCATATATGCCCCCTTAATCTCATTCCTGCCACCAGCCAGTAGGCGCCCGTCTAGGTCGACGGGCCAGGTCAAACTGGCTGGGGGGTGGAGTGGTATAAGGTCAACTTTCAAATCGCCAACCAGCCTACTCGACGACAGGCTTAGCGCATGCGAGTATCACGAGTTCGAGTCCCGGAATGAGCATCAAGAGATGTAGCCACACCGGCGGTGAACTGAGCTGCGACCACATCCTTTAGTTCTCTTTGAAACGTCTACTTATGATCTGAATCCGGATTTAGAGAAACTTCCTCATCATATTTATTATCAAGCTTACATATCTCGTGTTGCAGAGAAAATAGTGCTTTCTCTCTTTGATAAAGAATAATTTCGGATAGGAAATCGTTTAATGCTCCGAATGCGAGTGTTAACTCCGCAACGAGGTGCCAGATGACGGTTCCTCGAAGAGATCGTCCGCTCTGAGAGATGAGGCTCATAAGGGGTCCTTAACGCTGCTAAAAGCTTGAAGGTAAGTCATCGCACGTGTAGAATTAGCTCTCGAGAATCTGTCATAGGCTTTCTTCTCGCAGGCGGTTTTGTTCATGCTTGCTTGCCGTTAGGTAGATCCCGGAATGTGAAGTCCGATAGCCAGGAGCCGGGGAGGGCCCACAGTCCACAACGTCCAACGCGGATCGCACTGGCCAGCGGAAAAAACGCGCTAAGCTACTTTCGTCTCACTTTCTCGAACCTCTCATCGCAGGATCCACCTAAAATTTCATCCTTGCTCAATCGCTTCATCGACTTCATCAACCTTTCTCACTCTCATACAGAGATCTTACACATACATCGTCTGCAAAGCGAATCGCACCCGCCCGATCCAGGCACATTCAAAGCGTCTAGTCCATACGAAACTGCATTTATCCAGGGTGGGACACCGCGCCTCGCTCGTTTCCGACAGCTTGACCGATCCTCGCCCCATCCCAGTCTCTCTCTCACTCACCATCACCACCATCCCAAACCATGGCTCCTAAACGCGCCGCCGAGGGCACATCCTCCTCAAAAGACCACCAAGTCAAGAAGCGCAAGGGCTTCGGACCAAACACTCTCCCCGAGGGTCCATGGCGTAGGAAGGGTAATGAGCTCACACGTCCCTGAACCTCTCAAATGATCATCATTCACTAACCTCCACCCTCACAGTCGAAAAGAAGAAAATCGAGCTCATCCACAAGGCCAAGATCAAAAAGGCCTACGCAAAGATAAAGGAGCGAGAACTCGCTTCTCGGGAGCCCTCCTCCTCCTCCTCAAATGCGCAGCAGCCCGCCGCCGCGCTGGCAAAGGACATCTCAAGCGAAGATGAGCTCGACTCCCTCCAGGACCCCTCCAGCAAGACGGGATCTCCCGCACCAACTTCAGCACCAGCAGCGGCAACCGCATCGTCATCAGCAGTAGAGACAAGCACATCCTCATTCTCATCAACACCAACACCGCCAACAACAGCAACAGCAACAGCAACAACCACGCCTCACCCCTCAAAAGAAGAAGTCCACCCCTCCCGCGCAGAAATGCTCGAAAATGACGGCGAAACCCCCAACCCAAACACAATCGCCGTCAAACGCAAGCACGCGGCGGAAGAATCAGCCGATGCCGCCGCGAACGAGGACACCGCCGGCGGCGACCGCTACGAACCCCGCCAGCAGCGCAGACCCCGCAAACCAGGCTACTACGAGAAGCAGCTCGCCCACGCCGAGAAGAAAAAAGCCGAGGCCGAGGCCCGCCGCGCCGAGATCCAGCGCCGCCGCGAGGAGCGCGAGCGCAAGACGGCCGACCGCGAGCGGTACCGCCGGGCCATGGCGAAGGCGCGCAAGGGGTCCGAGAACGGCGGGCAGCGCAGGCTGGGCAGGGAGAGCGCGCTGCTGCTGGAGAAGGTGAGGCGCATGGTTGGGGACTCAAAGTAAAGGTGCAAAAACCGAGAAAAAGAAGGATGGGAAGAAGGAGCGGGTCAGACCTGATAAGTAGTCTGGCACGCCCTTATACAGAGCTTGATACCACATTGTATATATCATTATCACATTGTTAGGGCACCGCGGTTTATAAAAGTTTCGGCTTGGCTTTGTTCAGATACAAAGGATGGGCTGGGCCATCCATGAGATATTTGCAGCGTCACTAAACTTGGAATTCCATCTCGCCCGCAATGACTCCATGCGCAAGTACCATGCTCTTCAGCGTCGTGCTCAGTCGTCATCCTGTCACGTATGACTCGTCCTACTTCTAACCAACTGCAGAAACCTCGCCACAAGATTGAACTGAACCGCCCTCGACACCTCATGGTTGGACGAGGTGAGATCGCGCTCTCGCAACGACAGTGAAAACGTCCCCTCAGCCCTGAATCCTAAACCTGCCTTCGAGAACCAAAGAAAACTCCATTCGTGCCCCGAAGCAAGAAGTGTGGATATCATTAAATTTCCCTGGCGTGGAGAAATACTCCCGTATTGCTGCGGTCATGACGGCGTTCGAACAGTTCGAATCCAAATGTGAGGTAGTAATAAAAGCCGTCAGGCGTGTGGAAAGGTTTCTCCGGGCCAGATTCGTTGAATAAAAGGGGGTCGAGGGCGTCAAGTCGTGGGTGCGTTGATATGTACATGAATTTCCAACATCATTTTTGTCCATCCAAGCCAATCTTTCAGTCGGTAAAGATGGTGTGGCTATTCTCGACAACGAATTGCACAGCCAGGTTCTTGGCGTGCATGTCTGTCATCTCACGTTCCAGGCTCGTGTCCCGCATGATAGTGGGCGCAAACACGACCGCCAAGTTCTTGGGAGACATCTGTCATATCAATTAGCTTAATTGCAACCTTACGCCACTGAAATGAAAGCTTACCAAGTTCTCAGGCTCCCGTTGAGCAACCCGCGCAAGATGAAACATCAAGAACTCAAGACAGTCGCGGTGTCGCTGTGGCATCGTGCTGAAAACCTTACGAAGATGGTCACAGCGTTCAGTCTGGTCTGTGATGGCTACCAGGCAATGTCAGCTTAGAATTCGGGCGGGAATGTATGTATATCAACTTACCATTCGACTCCAGGACTCTGTCGTACACCTCGTACGTTAACAACGGCATTGGCAGCTTCCTGAAGTATTGCTTCAACACGCTCGTCACCGCGGTGATGTCTAGGCCAGGGTCTGAGATGTCGTAGTCCTCGCTCTTGTCGAATCCTTCTTGAATGACCTTC